CTGAGTCCCCCTGAGGGAAGTCAACTTTGCTTTTCCTGCTGTATCAGAATTCCAGCATTTCAGTTATGCTTGGGCTATCAGATACTGAAGATTCACATTTTTCTTAGTACATTTTTTCTCCCTTTCCTCCAGTTCACTTTTTTTCCTGTAGAAACCTACTGTACACCCCAGCTGGTCTTGGTTGGCAGGCAGGGCCAAGGTCAGGCTTTAGAAACTGAATAACTGACCCACCTACAGAAGTAACCTCTCTGGATCAAGGTTGAAGCAAATAGGTAATAGAGCTAATGTTGCAGGGGGAGCTGGTATTACTGCTGTTGGTGCTTCATCTGCTTTAATGATACACAGAAAGCTTCACTCTCCAGAGACTGCCCCTGAGAGATAGTAGAGTTGGAACTAGTTGGAATAACTTCATCCTGAAGATAAAGTCAAGTTTGTGGTGAGGAGCCTCAGCAGGACTGCAAGTCCTTTAAAAAAATAATTCTCCAAGACAAAAGATTTCCAAGAATATTCTCTACCAAGTATATACAGAAGTCATGTACCAGGCTCAAAGTCATGAAAATGGCTCAAAAATACAGAAGATTTTGCCATGATAATAAATGTTGGACTATTTCTTTTGTTCTGAGTCTGCAATTTATACAGATTACATTTTCAAGCTTCTCTCTAGGAAATTAGGCTGAAAGATAGAAACTATCTATTTCTAAAAGATCCTCTGAAAATCCCTTAACTCCAGGAGTTGCAGCTCCAAGAATGACATTCTTTCTACAAGATTTATGAGCCATCCCTAGCATTTTATAGCAGAAACAGAATTATTATGTCCTATAGGATTGTCCAGACAGTTTATAGAAAGAATCTCACTTTCTGTAAAATGTTATTGGTCACTTTCCTAATGCATTAGTGCCAGATTCCAAAGACAAAAAGGAATCATTGAAAAAACAGTTCTCTTTGCAAGGAATACAAGATTTTGATCATTCATTACTGTAGTCCATACAAACCCTCCATTTTACTTTTTATTATGTTTAAATCTTCTGTGGTATTCCTATGTTACCTGTCACAATACTGTCTTAGTGCTAGTCCAAAAGACCATGTGAGAATATGAGTTATATAATGAGTGATTTATTTTTCCTTTTTCTTTGTATGGAAGAATGCAACTCAGGCTTTAATCAAGCTTACTTGGACCTAGAGAGAATTAAAAGCAATTCTGCTAAAAAGTAGTTATTTAATTTATTACCTTAGACTTCTGTTTTATCTTTGTCAGAGATATCTAAAAATATCCTCATGTATTTTTACAGGAATCCCAAACTGTTTTGCAAACTAAGAATGTAGGGGTATTGACTTACTACTAATTGTCACCACCTCTGGCTAGAATGCAACAGCTATTGAATAACTTAGAGTAACAATAAACAATTGCTCACTGCTTACTAGAGGGTGAAAAGGGATAATGAATCCAGGAATAGGGGAACTGAGGAATGTAGAATATCTTACCCTGCACTGGAATTGGGCCTTGATCCATTTAGCTTGTGGGATCATACACTGCCCCTGCCCCCAGGCACTATGGCAAATGGCTGTTACATTAACTAGGAACTGAAAATCCATATTTAGCAATGACAAGTGAGAAAAAAGTAAGAAAAAAATGAGAATAAAACAGCCCAGATGAGCTCTGCTCCTGCGTAACATGCTTTTCACATGTCTTCTCCTGAATAAAGAGGATTTGCAACTCTTGTTGGTGCTGCAAGCAACTTGCAAGAACTAGGAGCCATAAAATGAAACTAATAGGTAGTAATTTAAGAACAAACAGAAGGAAGTTCTGTTTCAGAGAGTACATGAGACGCTGACTGCACAGTTGTTACTGTGCTGTCATTTAGTACTTGCATACATAAGTACTAGTACAGTAACTCCAGTTACTGTGCAGTAGTGTCGCGGAACAGCTTTTAGGTGATGCTGACTACTCAGTAGCTTGTTACTACTGTGCAGTAGCATCACGTCATGTTTTGTGCCACGCAGCGCTACTGTGCAGTAATAATAAGCTTCTATGCAGTCAGCGTCTCATATAGATGCAGCCACAGTGTAGGAACTCATTGCCATCAGATGTGGAAGCTGTCAGTTTAGTCAGATTCATAAAAGATTAGACAAATTCTTGAAGGAAAGCATCAATAGCTATTGACTATGGGATTTAGGGATACAGCCTCTGAATCAGAACTTCCCAAACCCTAAAGACTGGAGGCTGCAAGTGGGAGAGGAACAGTGGAAAAATCTCTGGTCATACTCAGCTCACTCTTCTTTTCAGCATCCACTCTCTGTCACTATGACACACAGGATACTGGGCAAAATGGACCTGTGGTCAGACCCTGTAAATGACAGTTCTTACTTTCTTATATAAATGTAAACTTTCTAGCCAGGATTCTGCATCAGTAATTGGGCTGCACACTATTCTGCCTTGTCTCCAGTCTGTTTTACCACCTGGGTGGGGAGGCACTTGATTAATTAATAAGTTAATGACTGAACAGTACTTTGAAGTTGCACAGCATTGTGGCTTTGATGGAAATGAACATCATCAAGAATTCTGCAGTTCACATGATGCAGAGAGAAGCATGCTCTCTACCCTAAAGTGCTCACAGCCTGAGGCAGGTGGGAGGGGAAAAAAAAGTAGCTGTTCAAGTATGGAAAGGTGGGACAGGATAACTGATGAGGATAGGGTAGGAGACATGCTCGGGGAAAGCTCATTTCAAAATAAATAATTAAAAAAGGAGTTCTACTTGAAATGTGAGTTTGTGAAAGGAACCCTTTTGTTTCACCAAGCCTTTGCCATTAAGAGGCAGTGCTTCTGGTTTTAGAGACAGCAGTAAGTTTCCACAAATTTTTACTCCTGTCAACATAAAGAGCAAGGTGAGCTCAGAGAGGAGAAGTTGGAGTCCATCCCTTCTGACGTATGAACAAAAGTATTTCTTATGTTCCACTGTGTTATACCTGTGCAACCAGGATTGCAAAGCTCTCAGTGAAGAAAGGCTTGCCTTTCTTACTAAAGGAGATGCACGGTATGGAAAGAACATAGCTTTGACCTCTCTTAGTGGCAGCAGCATTCAAGTATGGCAGTTAGAAAGATGTCTTGTCTTCCTTTAGAAATGTGCACATTTAGCCATATATACGTACCATAAAACTCAGTATACCAAATCCCAGGACGCCCACTTTCACCATCATGTTTCAAAGAAGAGCTGAACTTGTTAACACAAGCATTTTCTGATTTGGAGTCCTGTAAAATTGCACAGTGAATGTGCTTGTTATTGAGTTGAAACTTGTTAGGACTACCATACTTGTTTAACTTGTTTAACTACTGCCTGCCATTTAAGATAGCAGTATGAACCCATTATATAAACTTCCATCCCAAACAGAAGTAAATACAAGACTGCTCAGGAATTTGGAAGTTTTAGACAGAAGGGTTTCAGCTAGATATTGCTTAGTAAATCCTGGGCTGAAGACTGCTTCTTCTGCCAGCCCCCTAGGTTCCCCATGGAATGCAACAGTCCCCATCTCAGTAAAGGCTTCCCTCCCCACTCTGGATGGCAACCCAGAAGAGAGGGAGGCCCAGCACCATCACTACTGTGGCCACCTGAGGAGGAGGGGGGAAGGGTCCAGCCAGCCTGCAGCCCCTACAAAGCACCCTGGGGCAGGTGCTGCTGAAGGGCACCCTTTGACATTGTCCTTTGATGGTGTGCCAAGGCAGGAGCTGAGGGCTTTCATGGTGGGGAGTGGGGTCAGGGGATGCTGTAGTGGGTGACTGAAGCCACCGGTGCTGGTCGTCACCTCTTTCCCCTGCCCCCACCCCCATCATTCTTGATGGGCAATTGGCAATTTTCTTATATAGTAATTATTTCAAATTGAATCATATGTGCTTTGGGGGGAGAAGAGCAGGATAAATAGGTTTTGGGGACAGTCATTCCTCCCCCCTCCGGTCCCCCAACAGAAGGATGGTCTCCTTGGCAAGAGACATGGAAGTAGTAGTATGTGGAAGGATGGGAGGGAGTGTGGGAAGGACATTCCTTTATTTTATAGAGGAAGTGAATATGGTTGGGAAGTAAAGCTGGGGTGGGCAGGTGGAAGATGCTCTCCCAGGGGAGAGCCGGACTGGGAGTGGGAGGAAGTGGAAGTTTTTTCATTTGGAGATATTGTTTGGGACGTTGTTTTGTGATATACTATCTTATTGCAAGAGTATTTCATTCTGTTTTTATAAAGTTTTTTTCTTTTTTAAAGCCATCCTAAGCCTTTTTGAGGGAGGGCAGCATATAGCTCTAATAAACATACAGTAAAGAGGTCTGCATGGGGGTGGATGAAAGGCAGCTCAGATGGAGAAGCAGATACAATACACAAAAGCAGATTGGAAAAAATTCTGTACCAGTATTGGGACATAGTCATGGGAAAAAAGTAGAAAATGGTTTAATGGGTCAGGGTGCTGACCAAAAAGGGTGGTCCCATGAACAGGGATCTGTCATTGGCTGTTGGATTCCTCCTGAGTTCAAGAAGCCAGCATGTATTCTTAGGTAAATAAACAGAGTTGCAACAAAAATACCCAACCACATCACCAATGTGTTTTCCTGACTGGAAGAACCCATAAATCCCAAATAACGGCTGAACATTTAAGTGCAAAAGGGTAACATTTTAAAAACTGTTTTGTTTTGACATATCTATGGTTCGTAGAATTATTCAGGATGGAAGGTGACATAGGGCACATCTACACATGGCTGTATGGTGCTATTGTTATTGTGCTGTCATTTAGGACTTCCTTTTGGAAGTCCTAAATGACAGCACAGTAACAGCCTGTACTGCGCCATGCTGACCGCGCACGGTTATTTTTAGCTGCTATGTCACCATAGCAGTGCTCTATAAAGAGGAAATGTGTTGCTATGGTGACATAGCTGCCGGTCACGTGTAGATGCCTTCGGACATTATGTCACCATAAAGCATTACTACGGCAACTTAGCATCATGTGTAAACGCACCCATAGAAATGTATAATTGAGATTGTTCCTTACAATAATAAACTCTGACTCAGCTACTGTTTCTTCTAGGATTTTCTTCTTAGTCTTGGCACCAAGCCATTTAGAGCTTGTGCGGTAACACAGTATAATTATTTACTATTACATTCTTCTTGTAAAGGAACCATTATTGGTTGCAGTTCATCCATCCCCTCCACATATTTTTGAACTTCATTCACAGGTTAACAACTTCACAGAAGTTTAGGGCTGGAAGGGGCCTCATGAGATCATCGGGTCACAGGAAAGACCTCATTAAGAGAGAAGAAACCATCCCTCTTCTCCAGCCCTATTCCCAGCCATACACATTCTTTTAATTGCAGTTAGAGAATTTTTGGATTCCTGCCATACCAGTTTTACAGATCTTGGTGCCATCGCAGGTTCTCTATTTCAGTCAGACAGTTCAGAGAAGCTTAGAAATTGTTGGATGTCCTCTGTTCTAGCCATAGTCACTTGCATTCTAAAAACTTTCAGATGAACCATCTCTCATTCAGAGTTTACTGCAGCCTAGCAATCATTGGATGTTCCCTATTTTTACTCGGCCTGTGTAAGGCAGCAGCTGGAGTATTGCATCAAATTCTGGGCTCCCCACTTTAGAAAGGATGTGGAGAAGCTTGTGAGAGTCCAAAGGAGAGCCACATGCATGATTATAGGTAAAGAGAACAGGCCTTATGAGGAGAGGCTGAGGCATGAGACTCTTCAGCCTGGAGAAGCGAAGGCTCAGGGGTGACTTGGTGGCAGCCTCTAAGTATAGAAAGGGTATGCATCAGGACCTGGGACAATGTCTGTTCACCAGGGCACCCCAAGGGAAAACAAGGTCTAATGGCCACTGTGGCAGGGCACTGTTGGTGCCTGCCACTTCAAGGGCGCCCCCAGAGGGTGTTTGTTGCCCCCAGCCATTTTAGAACCATGGCTGCCTATATAAACAGAGCAGTTCACTGCTGGCAGGCCAGACAGAAACATTGCCTGGCTGAACTGCCAAATGAAACATCTGCAGGTAGAAGCAGGAGGCTTTTGGTCCTAGGCATGACCTAAAACTGCACCCTGCCAGGAGTGGGTGGTCTGGTGGGGCTCCCAGTGGTGTGGGAGCCCCCCAAGAAATACCAGGCCAGTTACCACACCAGTGAAAGGTGGGTTGAACCCACATCCCTAGTGGGTTCAACCGGTTCAGGGGGAGTCCAGGCTCATGGGAGTCCTGAGGCAGGGCCCAGGTTGGCAGAGGGACCTGGAGCAGCGCCCAGGCTCTTCGTGAGTCCTGTGGCAGGAAGGACCCCGAGAGGGGGCCAGGCACAGCAATGGCCACCTGAGCCTCACAGGATGTGATACCCCATGGGCAGAGGGCCAGGCAGGGCTATGGCCACCTGAGCTGGACAGGGAGGCAGACCCCAGTGAGGGAGCAGTGTGGGAGGTGTAAGACCCTGGGGCCAGGCAGGGCTGTGGCCACCTGAGCCCCAAGGGTTGGAAGACCCCAGTGTGAAGCCCCAGTGAGTGGCTTGGAGCCCCTTAAGTGTTTGTTTGTCTGTTTGTGTGTAGGTGTTATGAAAGACCCAGTGCAGACCACTGGTGGATGCCATCTGTGAGGCTTGGGCTGCGGTGTAGGGGAGGATCAGTGCTCCGGATAGCAGCCTTTGGCATCGGGGCAAGAATGAGCAGCCTCCTGCCTAATTAGAACCAGTTATGAAACAACAAGGTATGGCAGGAAAGTGAGGCGGGTGGTTAGCCCAGGAACAGGTGGGCAGGCCAATGGTGGATTGGCCTCGAGAAGGCCCCCTGTTACAGTCACAAACTGCTGGAAGATAATTTCAGACTGGACATAAGGAAAAACTTCTTTACCACCAGAGACTCTAGAGTCTGGAATAGACTCCCCCCAGAAGTGGTGCAAGCACCTACTCTGGATACCTTTAAGAAATGCTTGGATGTTTACCTTGCTGGAGTGATCTGACCCCAGCTGAATTCCTGCCCCTTGAGCAGGGGGCTGAACCTGATGATCTCGCAGAGTCCCTTCCAGCCCTAATGTCTATGAAAGCTCATTCTACAGCCCCATTCATTGCAGGCAATGAATTAATGAATGTTCCCTATCCACTTAGCCATTTACCATTCAGTAACTGCAGGGTACTCCTTCTCATAGCGGTTTCATTTTAGAGCCATGTTGTATGGGACACTTAGAATGTGTTAAATACACAAGATGCAGGCATCTGCACATTCAAACAGTAGAACATATGCTACATGTGCTCATAACCATATCAAACTTCTGATTTTTTGAGAAAGAAGTATTTCTGGATAGTATTGTGTAACATGTATTCAGCTACTATCGACCTACTCTAAGGAGGTAACATGAGCAATTTGCTGTCCTCCAGCATCCTAGGATGCACTGCTCTTAGCCCTGCTACTTTTACTTGAAGGAACAGTCTATCCACCCACCTACACAATACTGCCCAGGTGGGGAGGGGGGGTGGTACCAACCCCAAGGTGGCACTCCACCCACCTTGAGAGTGTGACCCTAGCCCACATGACATCACCCCAAGCACTTATTGAAACCCACAACATTTGCTGAGGCCTACCACCTTTGCTTAAGTGCTCAGGTTCATAGATTCATAGGTGTTTGGGTCAGAAGGGACCTCAGGAGATCATCAAGTCCAACCCCCTGCCCTGGGCAGGAAAGAGCACTGGGGTTAGTGCTGGTACAAATAGTAAGCACCTAACTTAGTGAAACAAAGTGAACCAAAGAATGTGCTCCTTGGACCCCCTGCAGGAAGGCTGAGAACTAGACTCATAGCAAGGTGTTGGACTTCAGCATGATCTGGGACAAAGACAGAATCATCACTACCACTGCCAATGGCATGAAGGGCAGATGACAAAAACCAAACAACCCATGAATGCATTCTGACCCCTATGTTGACTGGGACACCAGAAGGACTAGCAGCAGATCTGCACTAAAATCAAAAGCATGAAGCTGCAGTATGGTTTGGAGCGGGGAAATGAACAAGGTCTTGGGTGCTACAAGGATGGTGGTTCCCTCTGCAAGCAGATGTCAAGGACCCTTGATGTGGACCATACTGCATAGGCATGGGCCTGATGCTGTGCATCAATGACAATGAAAACAACAACAGAGTTTCCTTCCTGCTACCTGCTACTGAAATGACCATGGAGGAATAGATGTTGGGCGGGCTGGGTTGGACTAAAAACCCCA